GCCAGAGGTTACCACCCTCGCCTCTGGCCTCATACCCGTCAACGGCAACTTGTTATCATGATCCCTACTCTGGCTCTGCCTAACTTTCTGGCTGTGAAATATCACAACCGGCAGCCCTGTGGGGACTGTTCTATGTACGGCAGGTACCGAGCCCACCCTTTGTCTGCCCACGCGGGGCGTGCCCAGTAGTTATGTTTCCTGGCAAACGCCGAGGGGGTCGGTGGCCGACGCTTCCTAATCGGCAAGCCATAGCAGACTTGTCAACCGGAACCCGGGAACGCCTACTTCCTTCTCAACACCCCTATATCTATGTCAATGTATAATTCTGGTTGTGGTTAGGGTTATGGCCACAACTTGGATGATGGTATAATGAGGTCTAGGCAATAAAAAGGTTGAGAACCGCCGGGATAGAATGACATTTTAAAGTTATTTTTGTTTCGAGGCCTTCACCTTTGATGCCTTCATGAGCACTTCTGGTCCTATTACAAGGCTACTGATTCTAGACATGGCTACTGGTCTTATTACAAGGCTACTGATTCTAGACATGGCTACTGGTCCTATTACAAGGCTACTGATTCTAGATATGGCTACTGGCCCTATTACAAGGCTACTGATTCTAGACATGGCTACTGGTCCTATTACAAGGCTACTGATTCTAGACATGGCTACTAGACATGGCTACTGGTCCTATTACAAGGCTACTGATTCTAGACATGGCTACTGGTCCTATTACAAGGCTACTGATTCTAGACATGGCTACTGGTCCTATTACAAGGCTACTGATTCTAGACATGGCTACTGTTCCTATTACAAGGATACTGATTCTAGACATGGCTACTGGTCCTATACATGGCTACTGGTCCTATACAGGCAACTGGTCCTATACATGGGTACTGGTCCTATACATTGCTACCGCTCCTATACATGGCTACTGGTGCAATACATGGCTACTGGTTCTATTTATGGCTACTTGTACTATACATGGCTACTGGTCCTATACATGGCTACTGGTCATATACATGACTACTGGCACTATACATTGCTCCCTTGTCCTTTATTTTGCTACTGGTCCTATCCATGGCTACTTGTCCTATGTATGGCTGCTTGGCCTATAAATGCACTCATCACTTCTTCCCATTGATTGGATAATATTCTAGAAAATGAAATATACTCTTTTTTGTAACACCCGGACTCCGGGTCCTGACCAGCCGGATATTGTTTCAAAATACCATGCCACGCCCCGGTTGTAAAAAAAAACAAAATCTGAAGGGGGCTCAGCCCTAATAATACACCGTGGCAGTGGATGAGACTCGTTAGACTTGTACGGCAACTCATCTAAGAGGAGGCAAACTCTTGATTCAAACCAGGAGCCAGAATGATCAACAAATAGATTTTGGGACCTCAAAGATAAGAAGAAGAAATCTGAAGAATATTATGTCGCATGTACTCTTCGTATCCATAAACATAAAGCGATTTTCTTTCTTTTTGGTTTGCCCCCCCCCCCGGCAAGCTTAACGATGAATTCAAACAGGGGTCACGTTGCACCCTTCTGTTCATGTCCTCTAGCGGATATGACGTGATCGTGGCGTTTCAAGTGGACACCAACCTAAAGCACTTTTTTTTTTTTTTTCTTTTCCGTTCTTGAATGATGTGACTTCCGGTTCAGGGTCGACGCCAAAACAACGCTCAGCTGTGCTGTGTTTACCATTTGACAGTGATACGACACAGAGACAAACATATCGTTGTCACTTTGGCTAACCCCCCCCCCCC